TTTCTTCGTTGTGTCTGTTTATAGCTTCTCATTCCAAATCCCTTAAGACTGAGATCGTCACTCTCTCGTAGGATTCCTACACTTCCCATACTCGCCGCCGTTGACGAGCTCAAATTTCATCACTTCTCAAAATTCTCGTTGTTGTGGCTTATGCACTTCAGCAAGGGTTTGAAGCTAGCCAATAAAGTCTTCGTCAAACTCTGTTTCGCCATTGCACTTACCACTTGTTGTGCTTAAATTTTATTAAGCATTGTTCCAACCTTCAGTTATGCTTAGCCAATAAATCTTCTAGTGTTTTTAAATCGAGTATGTTTCGGCTTCTTGCTCAGCATAATCCTTTTCTTCGAAATTATATGTTCTCAGTGCAGCGATTAATTGGTGATTGGGCGAAGAATGAATGAATAAGATAGTTGATAAAGTGGATAAATGAACAGAGGTAGTTAATTGATTATTTAATTAACAAATTAATGATTGAATAATTAATTGACTGAATGAATAATGAATGAGCTGATGATTCTATGTTGAAGATTGGAAAAAATTGTCAGTTATGTTAATTTTCAACCTTCCCTTCAATCAACTCCTTTTCGTATATTCCATGTGTGTTTTACGGTGTTCCAGGTGAAACTGTAGCTTTTGGTTTTCCTGAATATTTTATGTAGCAGGCTTGCTCTTTTTGTTGATCGTATGTTTCACATTTTCAGTCGTTCAAAAAGTTTCCTCTTAACATTAGATAAAGTTTATTCAAAAGTACTTTTATCCTAGACTTATGTGTGAGCTACCATCTTCCATTTCCATTGCATTTGTTTCATCAATTCCACTACTATACGACTAATCATGTATTTTCGTATGAACGCTTTTCAACGCATATAATAAGCGCTAAGACGAAAAACAAGTTTAATTCAATAAATTCAGCGGAACATCTGCGCCACTGATCGACGCCGATTCGAAGCAGCGTTGCCGATGCCGGAGTCATCGTTCAAAAGAACGATCCTGATCACAGGATCAACAGATGGAATCGGGAAGCAGACAGCTATCGACTTAGCCGCTCATCCAGATAATCGTGTTATTATTCATGGACGAAGCGAGGAAAAATGCGAGGTATATCGATGTTTGTGTTGGTGGTGGAGGACTTCGTAGTCAGCCTGTTTAGTACAATTAGCGATTTTGGAAGCGTGGGGAACGACAAAGATTTCTATCATTAGGAAACACTTTTTACTATTTGTGGCTGTTCCATTTCGGAGCTCTCCTTCTTTTCTTAAATAAGAAAACTTCAATTTAAAGTTCTTATTAAAAAGTAAGATTACCAAAATATCCCTTCCAATTAAGGCCAAAGCCAACTTAATTTTGGAACAGAAGAATTTTTTTTCAGGCAACCCGAGATCACATCATCAAGGAAACTGGTAATCCTACAAATGTCGACTACATTGCTTGTGACCTATCCATAATGAAGGAGGCACGTTTTTTTCTTTTATCTCGGTGTTTACTTCCTCTTTTCCTCTTTTGCTCAAGAAGATTTTATTTTGCGCTAGAGTCTCCTTCTTCCCAGATTAGCCTACTAAAGACCCTTCAACAGATTTGATTTCCTCCCACGCTCTTTCGTTTGCATAGCTA